GGGGGCTCCTGCTTCCCGGCTCCTGCACAGCCCGCAGCCGCAGCAGTGCGGGACAATCCCGTTCCCCCGGCCCGCGGTGCCATTAATATGCGCAATGGTATCAATTGACTTGTTTTTGCCTTTGCAGGCTAATGGAGGCTGGCAGGACGCAACCACTCCATCTTCTGTGACTTCCCCTACAGAAGGGCCGGGAAGTGTGCACTCGGATACCTCTAACTAATCTCCTAGCAACACTTTTTCCCTGAGCTGAGATGCCTTGATTAGCGCATTCAGAGTTGCAGGAGAAAAAGGAAAGAGTTTTTTGTAGCCAACCACCTACAGCTTTACTGTAAAACCTTGTCTTATTAGAAAACTTGGTAAATCTGTTTTTTAAAGGTATCATAATCATTTGTATTTATACTTAAAACACACAATGTTAAAAAGCACTTTATCCAATTAGGCCAAGATTTAGCATTGTTTATAGCCCTGTAACTATTTTATCATAATTTATTATCAGCAGTTTTAATGATGTTGGTCTAACAGTTGCCAATTACTTGGCCTTAAGGGTAAAAGTACAGGACAAGCTTAACCTCAGTAGCAAGAGCAGACACAAAGAACCGCCTCACCCAAATTTAATTGTGTGCATATTTCCATGGAAAGTCGACAGGAATCACAGACTTTGATTGTGTTTCATCTTTTCATATCTCTCACAGAGCTGGAATAAAAAGAGCTGTTCAGTTATTTCGGTTAACAATGGTCGTGTTTAAGAATCCTTATTCGTCACATTTTTTTGAGATCTATTGTCTTACAAATTAGATTGGAAACCAGGAGCATCCTTTCTGGCTAAGGCCCCCCGGAGCCCGGGTCTCCCCTCGGAACCCCGACACGGACACAGGTTGCTCTTGGGAGATGAGGACTCTTGCTGCTGGTCTCTGTGCACGCCACCACCCGGGGTTTTACAGTACGAGCTGGGTGCTACCCACGCCTGCCAAGGGCTGGTGCCTCTGCTTGGCAGCAAACCACAAACAAAGGAAAGGAAAGGAAAGAGCACCGTGATATGGAGTGTTGTACATAGTGTAGCAAAAGAGTATTTATACATCTCACCAATCAAACACAGCTTTATTACCTCATGCGAACTCATACAAACCAATAGACTTTCAACATGTTCTGTAGCTTAGAGTGCTCACTTACTACCTCTGAACGATACTCACGCTGTAGTTTGTCTCTTTCTTATCTTTTTGCATCTTGTAATTAACTCTTTGTTTCCCCACGAAATGTAATGTACATTGTAATCTCCTACAAATCAGGGTTGCCTTGGCAACTGCTAAAGAAGCGGAAGTGGAAACATGGGGTCTTAGTTTGGACACAAAACAGTGCAACTGTTGTAAATACTGAGAAGCATTTTGAATGTTCTTCATCTTGTTACTAATACACGCAAAAACCAACAACTAATTGTAATGCATACAGACTTCAGTATTCAGTACTGTACATCCCCTGGATTGCAGGGGCCCTTTCTCTCTCTTTTGTATTGTATGCGATTCTGAAACTGATTGAGTCATGAAAATAATTTGTGGCAGTGATTCTAATGTATTAAACCGTTTCGTGTTACTTTCTAACTGGATTACACCCTGGATTGAAAAGTCTTCCTCGTGGTAGTTATATGTAGTTTCAAACATGAATAAACTTTTTGCTTTCATGATCAAACGTTGATGTAATTTCTTCCTGCTCAGTTCAAGTCAGCCTGAGGAGATGCGTCGGTCTCCAGAGGAGCGAGCTGGCATGGAGCAGGAGCTGAGCATCTCTTTAAACACCAGCAGGTCCCTGTGCCCTCTTGCCAGGAGAGAATTGGAAATCCTGGGAGAGGCACATCCTGGGCAAAGGCTTCCACCTGCCAGCGCCTGCCTCCGCTGCTGCCCTGCTCTGCCTGGGAGCCACAAATCAAGTGGAGGTAAAGGAAGGGGTCAGGCCTTTAGATGAGTTTGAAAACCATCATCATATTCACTCTTAATTACCATTTTTATTTAACATTAACTTTGGAGCTATAGCCTCAGCTAGCAAGTCTAATGTGATTATAAAAATATTTTTCTTTATTAAAAAAACTTTTTTGGAAGGACGTATATATATAAATGCTAATTTTAAGTCTTTTTAATAAAGTAAAGGTCAATAACAGGTAATAGCCTATTTACCATATCTCAAGGAAATTGACTCACAGGAAATCAAATTAACGTTAATCACTTGCAGCAAATGGTCTTTGATAAATATAACTACTCACTACTTGGGTTAGTGCAGCTAGGCAGGAGCAGGCCGAGCGCTCACCAGCACCAGCCCTGGGCTGGGCTCGGTGCCTCAGGGGCTGCTGGGCATCACTTCCCTTCCCTTTGGCTCTTCAAGCCTCCAGGTGTTCTTCTGGGGGCTTGACTACTGTGTGCATGATTCAGTGAGCTTGTGGTTCAGCTTTTCTCACAATTCTTGTATCAGGGTATTTTGTGAGGTACCTTTGCTCTCCCCGGGCCGCAGCGACCCTGCACCCACGCTCTCACACACCAGTGGCTGCTGCTGCTCTGCTCACAGAGCACTCACCTCCATCAGGTTTGGAATTGAGCAGTGCTGCTTCTTCCACAGGTGGTGCTTGTAAATAAACAAGGAAATAGCTAGACTTGCACTGCACAGCCTTTGTTATCAGTTAAGGGGAGCTGGGGCAGGTGGGGACTGTGGACTGCTGAAGACTTCTGCATGCTGAGGACAAAGCACCCAACAATTTGCATTTGCTAATGGAGCTCCCCAAGTCCACACGCTCAGTGCTCGTGCTACAGCTCAGTGGAAATGGTATTTTATATTTTAAATGTAAAGTGTGTCAGCGGAGGCGTAGTAGGCAGCGTAATGAACACTCAGACGTCCCTCATCTTGATCACATCTCTGCTGGCCACAGGCAAGGACCTGTCACACACTGAGGAGGTTCATAGGAAGGCCATCAACAACCTTTGGGCCGCCCTTGCGTGCCCCACGCCCGCTGGGCATCATTAGCTGCTGCTTTGCAGCATTAAGGCTTTGGGTCCCTTTGAATTACAAGTGCAATTTGGCTTTTCCTTACGTTGGAGAGCAGCCACGTGGTTCCACGGCAAATAATAAACATCTTATCCTTGAGGCCTGATCACGCATCAGGGAGGTTTACTGCCAGCACCAGTACTAGGATCAAGCTGCTGCTGGTGTATTGTGTTTCAGCCAGTAGCTGCACCCTGAAGGAGCCTCGCAGGAACAGCGAGGGGAGGAGAGCCTCAGCCTCCCACCTGCCAGCTCAGCAGCACCATCCCAATTCCCTGCGCCCACGTTCGAGCTTTGGGCATGAGAACCCTGCAGCAGGAGCCCACCAGCCGTGGGAGGTGCCAGCCCCAGACCCTGTGTGGAGCACAGCAGGACCAAAAGGAGGACTTGCAGCAGGTGCCAGGAATCGCCATCTCCTGTGCTCAGCACTGACCTGACTGAGGCCTCCATCACTGGGACAGGCACGAGGGTGTCTGGAGGAGAGACCCACACTGCTCCCTGGGCAGGGCTCGACTGCCGCTCCTGGGACCAGCCCCAGCTCCGTCTGACCTGCTGTGCCATGGGGACCGTGGGGACCGTGGGGACCATGGCACGGTCACTGCTCTGGGCTGTCCTGCAGGAGGAGTTGAGAAGCCCAGCAGCTGGGGACACACGATGCCTTTGGTTTGTGGCCTGCTGAGCTGTGGGAGCAGCCCCAGAGCCCCCGAGAGCAGCAAACCTGCCTCTGCTGAAGGTGGAGCAGGTGCCAAGCTACCCCTGTGCCCGGCTCCTGCTGTGCCCAGCTCCCCTGTGCCCAGCTCTCTGTGTGTCCGGGCTCAGAGGCGATCAGAGGAATCCTGAGCCCAGGAAGGAAGAGCTGGGGAGCCCTGGGGGCATGGCAGGATCCGTGCCCCGCGGGGCTGGGTCGGTGGGGGCAGCTCTGCTGGCACCACGAGTGTGAGGCTGAGCTCAGTGATCCTGCAGCAATGTCCTGACCACACGTGAGCCGAGGTGCAATGCCACTGTCACTACCTGTGCCATGTATTTCCCATGTGATAAAAGTAACTGTGAGTAACTGAAGATGTTTCCAGTTTGTGTTAATAAAATACATCTTTTTTTAAAGAATGGAATTCTTCAGAGATTGGCAAATTTTATTTTATTTCATTAGCTTTAATGTCACTGCCATATGGACTGTGAAGAAAAGTGAACCGTTAGATCAGAGGGACTGAGTTATCAGTGTGACACAGAATGCTCTGATACAATTGTTAAGGATAAGCCCTGGAGTGATTTATTGCCTGCATTGTATTAGTCACAGAGGAGTTATGATATGCTCCCCATTCCTGTATCATATTAGGATTTTATTAGTCTAATATGACATGGTAATGTAATATATGATTAGAATTCCCATCCAATGATCCTTTCCTTGGTTGCAAGGGCTGGAGAAGGGTTTGTGTGCATCAGATGCTGGCCCATCATGCCCAGGGAGGATGGGGATACCCGGGATGGCACAGTAGCTGAACCAGTCTCCAGACCTTCTAGGTGGGACTTGGGGCCCCTCACCTTCTGTGGGCACCCCGGGCCATCTGTCTGCCTCCTGGGATGGCACAGTAGCTGAACCAGACCTTCCAGGTGGGACGCGGGGCCCCTCACCTTCTGTGGGCACCCCGGGCCATCTGTCTGCCTCCCAGTTTGTTTCCCCTGAATCACAAAGCCGCTGCTCCTTCCTGCAGCTGGGACAGTGGAAGGTGGAGCTGGCGTTACAAACCTGATGGAGCTGGCATTACAAACCTGATGGAGCTGGCATTACCATCCTTGCTGAGCCGAGCCACAGGTCTGGGCTGTGTCCCAGCAGTACCTGGGAGGCCATCCCTGCCACGGCTGTGCCAGGGCTCCTGCAGCGCCAGCAGCGCCCTGGGCTCAGCACGGCGCGGTTTGCACGGGCTCTGGACAAAGGAGAGCCCCGGCAGGGCGCGGAGCTCGGTCCTGGCAGGACGCGGACCTCAGTCCTGGCAGGACGCGGAGCTCGGTCCCGCAGGACGCGGAGCTCGGTCCCGGCAGGGCGCGGAGCTCAGTCCCGGTAGGACGCGGAGCTCGGTCCTGGCACAGCACGGAGCTCGGTCCCGCAGGATGCGGAGCTCGGTCCCGCAGGACGCGGAGCTCGGTCCTGGCACAGCACGGAGCTCGGTCCCTGCGGGATGCGGAGCCCGGCCCCGGCAGGGCGCGGAGCTCGGTCCCTGCGGGATGCGGAGCTCGGTCCCGCAGGACGCGGAGCTCAGTCCCGCAGGACGCGGAGCTCGGTCCCGCAGGACGCGGAGCTCAGTCCTGGCAGGACGCGGAGCTCGGTCCTGGCACAGCACGGAGCTCGGTCCCTGCGGGATGCGGAGCCCGGCCCCGGCAGGGCGCGGAGCTCGGTCCCGGCAGGGCGCGGAGCTCAGTCCCGGTAGGACGCGGAGCTCGGTCCTGGCACAGCACGGAGCTCGGTCCCGCAGGATGCGGAGCTCGGTCCCGCAGGACGCGGAGCTCGGTCCCGGCAGGACGCGGAGCTCGGTCCTGGCACAGCGCGGAGCTCGGTCCCGCAGGACGCGGAGCTCAGTCCCGCAGGACGCGGAGCCTGGCCCAAGTGGGACGCGGAGCTCGGTCCCTGCGGGATGCGGAGCTCAGTCCTGGCAGGACGCGGAGCTCGGTCCCGGCAGGGCGCGGAGCTCAGTCCTGGCACAGCGCGGAGCTCGGTCCCTGCGGGATGCGGAGCTCAGTCCTGGCAGGACGCGGAGCTCAGTCCCGCAGGATGTGGAGCTCGGCCCCGGCAGAGCGCGGAGCGCTGCCCTGGCGCTGGTGGCTGTGCCTCACCAGCGTGCCCCTGCTCCCACAGCTCTCCTCTCCTTTCCCCGCTCTCCGGAAACCCAGTTTACACAACAATCCCGAAGACAAACTTCTCTTCAAAGCGTGCCCGGCCCCGCGGCCGTGCGCAGCCCCGCTCGCCGGGGAGCGGCGCGGAGCAGACGCCGTTTGTAGCCCCGTTCTTGCCTCCAGCAGCAGCAGCAGGAGGAAGTTCAAGCGTGTCAGAGCGCTACTAGGTGCTAAATCCCCAAATCTATATCAAAGCCTATTTGATCATCTTGCTGTCATTGAAATAATAAAAAGGATTAATTTATTGGAGACTGCCAAAACCCTCATGTGGCAACGAATTTAAGGATCGTGTTTACACAGGCTAATTAAACCCAATTACTTTCATTCCTCTCGCGGTGCCAGCGCGGGTGCTGAGGGGTGCCTGGAGCCCCCGGGTGAGCCCCTGTTCCTGGGGTGGGTGGGGACCCGGGGGTGTCCCGATGAGCACATCTCTGGGGCAGGGGGAAGGGACCCTCCTCCTCCTCCTCCTCCTCGCTGGGAATGGCCCCTCGGAGGGGGAATGTGGCACTCGGCCACCCCTGGCTGCGGGCGAGCCCGGCTGAGGCTCTGGGAGAGCAGGCGGGGCCGTTGCCATGGTGGGAGATCACCTATTAACGCCTGCTATTCGTATAATAAAAGGTTGCATTTTTGGTGGTAAAATTCAGCATAAAGAGCACGCGTCATTAAGTATGGAAATCCAGAATTTTATTAGCAATCTGCTAGATCTGAACTGACGCCAATTAAACAAAAAAGATATCATTTATAAAAAGGCAGAGTTCAAGTTGTATTAAATATGAAATGCAATTTTCTGCTGGTTGTGATTTATTACCATTGGTACATTGTTCAAAGAAGCATGTTATATTTCAATAGAGAAATATTGTTTATTCATTAATATTTTAAAACTTGCTTATTGCTGTGTATGACTCTCCTGCAGAATGAAACTTATGATTTAAAACATGAATTAATAAACACATTTGAAAGTGTTAGACAATATCATAACTGCTCATTTTTCATTTTACTGAGAGCATATTAAACTTTTATAATTCTGTACTATTATTTTCCAAATAAAGGTGTGGGCTCTAAATTGCTAATTTCAGGTACAGATGAGAGAAAGCAATAACAGATGTTGGGAAGCAGTCACTATGTCCTGCTAATACGGCTCAATACTTTTGTTCTCACATTATTCACAAATCTGCTCAGCAGCACGGCCCCCGCAGAGAGTCTGGGGTGCCCCGGGTGCCTCCCCCGCGGGACAGGAGGGCTCCAGGGACAGCAGCCTGCAGAGAGCAGTGCAGGTGTGCAGGCCAGGGGAGGATGGTGAGGGCTCCAGGTACGCTGGAGCCGCAGGGCTGCGTCGCGCTCGGAGCGCCAGGAAACCTCTGATGGAGGCTGACATCCTAAATGAGGCCGAAAATATTTTATACAAAATGTGATAAAGCAGTAATGATCCCAGAGGCCTCGGGTTATCTTGGTGATTACCTGCACCCACCACTTGAATCAGCAGCATTAAGGGGTCCAGACCCGATACGCAGATCCCTCGGAACTCATTAATCCTGAGTACTTTATATAGACTCACCTCCCAGCTGCTTGATTCAAACTAACCTTTTTTGTATCTTAAAATCTCTGCTGCCACAGCCTTGCTGTATTACCATAACAATAACCGGTATTTCAATTTTAAGAACTCATTTTTCCTCAAATAGAAAGTGCCAATCAATTTAAGGAGCAGGAGAGGCACGCGGGAGCACAGGCAGGGCACGTGCGCCGGGGCCTCGCCCTCCTGCTCCAGCCCTTCTGGGTGGGAGCATCTTCCTTCCTGCCTGCACTTCTCCTCCTCAGCCTCTGCTCTGGCTCTGCAGCACGTGCTGGGCGGGGGGGATTCACCTCAGGACTTGACTCTCTGGGGGGAAGCAATGGAAGGGGATGGGGAGCCGACCTTTGGAATGCCTCCCCAGCCTGGGGGGCTTCACTGCCCCCTCTGGCTCCAGCATCCAGGCTGTGGGGAGGGGTCCAGGACACGTCAGAGCAGGGGGCTGGGGGCCCAGGCAGCGTCTGTGCCTCGTCTGATGGATGGTGGGGCTCGTGCCAGGCTGGCCCTCACACCTGACAGTTAATGGGAATTAACTATTCACCTCTCCATTGGGCCAAGCAAATCGGCAGAACTTATTACTCCAAGCCACTCAATTAATTAAAGTTCAGTGCTTAATCAAGTTCCAGTGGTCATAAACAGGGCACAGGGATTTCTCTCTCCTGAGCACCATGCTCAGAGCTTACACAGAGCAGAGTTCAGTGCCTGGCACTCCCTGTGTGACTCCTCATCAGATGAGCCCCCACTGCCCCCCTGGTCCCAGGGCAGCCCCCTGGGAGCTGGCTCCCCTCGGTGGGCTCCGTGTGGGCTCCAGGCTGGGGGCCTTGTCCTGCCACGTCTGGGGAAGCGTTGGGAGGGGTGGAGTGCCTCTGGGCACCGTGGGGTGCAGGGGCTGGGAAGTGTCTGTGCCACCCCCGAGAGCCCCCAGTGACCCCAGGTCCTCCCTGGAGGGGGCACGGAGGAGGCTTCACTTGGAAACCCACCTTCCCCCCACCCTGGCTGGACAAAGAGCCACAGCAAAACCTGCTCTGGCACAGAGGGAGTGTCTGTGGGACAGGAAGGCTGGGCACCACAGGAGCTGGGCTGGCGGGCCTGGGTAGGGACACAGCATGGAACTGCAGGCACCCAGCAAACAATGCCTTTCCAGGGGGCCTGCCCATGTGCTCCAGAGACTCTCCAGCCCATCCATAACCTGGAAGGAGATGCTGTCCAGCCACATGGGCAGCAGATTCAATTAGGTTTCTCTCTCCCAGAACGTGGCACGAGAAGCAATCTCTCTTTTTTGAAGAATGTAATAACAGAGTGCAATGGAAATGCGTCCAAGAGACTCCAAGAACAGGATCCCTGCCTTAAATCTTGAAAGCAGTCAAGAAAAATATGTTGTTTACCTGAATTTGTTTTTCATAAGGTCTCCCAGAGGATGAATAAACTAACCTTTCGTGTGTGAACACCTGGTCCTACACGCCATCAATAACCCGCTGCACCCTCCGCATCAGCGCGCGCTCGGTGGCAGAGGCAGATTGCAGGAGCCTCCACAGGAGTCACCAGAACACCCGTGACAGGGAGGACAGCCAGGACTCTGCGTGTCCCCAGGGCTCCACACACACGGAGCAGGGCTGGGCCCACGTCCCAGATGTGGCCCTGAAGGCAAGGCTGGGCTCCCCAGAGGGAGCAGGGCTCTCCTGCAGGACCCTGCCGTGGTGGGGGGCCCTGGCAGGCCCTGCCTGGGGGGCTGCGGGTGGGAGAGGAGCCAGGGGCCCTGCCAGCAGCACCCTGCCAGCAGCACCCTGCCAGCAGCACCCTGCCCCGAGCGGGTCTGCGGGCTCCAGCCTGGCATCCCTTAATTGATTGATCGGCTCGGACTGTCAGCGCTTACAGAGATAATTCAATTTATGAAATCCCATTAAGCAGTGAAAGATTTTTTGATTGTTGAATTGTTTCCTATGTTATGCAAGTAATTTTGGTTCCTCTCACTTGGAAATCCGCTTCCCGTTTGCGAGAGCTGGCGATGGAGCCATTCCCCTCCCCTGGCTGCCATTCCCCTCTGCTGGTGCTGCTCAGCTGCTCCGAGGGTGGCTGAGCACGGGGCACAGGCAGCTGGGGCAAGGAGACACCCCAAGATCATGGCCTGACAGTGTCCCATAACATCCCAGTGTCCCGTGGTGTCCCAGTGTCCCATCACACCTCAGTGTCCCATGGTGCCCCAGTGTCCCGTGGTGTCCCAGTGTCCCAGAGCATCTGAGTGTTCTTTGGTGTCCCCGTGTCCCATCACACCCCAGTGTCCCATGGTGTCCCGTGGTGTCCCAGTGTCCCATGGTGTCCCAGTGTCCCATGGTGTCCCAGTGTCCCATGGTGTCCCAGTGTCCCGTGGTGTCCCAGTGTCCCATCACACCTCAGTGTCCCATGGTGTCCCGTGGTGTCCCAGTGTCCCATCACACCCCAGTGTCCCATGGTGTCCCATGGTGTCCCAGTGCCCCGCGGTGCCCTGGCATGTGGGATCACCCCTGTAACTCTCCTGCAGCTCTCTCCTGGGCACAGGCAGGGCTCTGGCAGCCCAAACCATCCCGCTGTCCCCGTGTTCCCGTGCCAGAGCAGCACCAGGACCTGGTGGCTGTTTGGGGTACCCTGTGCCCCCACCCCGGTGACCCCAGCCATGGAGCCAGCGCAGGCAGGGGGAGCTGGGGCTGCCACGTGGCAGCTGAAGTTTGGTTCCTGTTTTCAGCTCTTTGTTTCCATCCCCCACCCCCACCCTGATGCAAACTCCTCTCTCCGGTTTGTTTCCATAGAAATCCTCAGCTGTAAATCCTTAAGTAACTTTTTTTTTTATTTATAGTGTGCTATTAATGTCCTTTCAAGCCGAGGACTCCAGGAAATGAAATAATAGAAAAGGCACCACTTTGAAATGCATCCAGGCATTTATTGTTAGTAAGTGAAAAAGTAACATGAGCATTTAAAGAAAATATTGGCAGATAAATTGGGTTTTAAAGAAAATATAATTGGATATAATTTCTGCTTCATTCAGTTAAATATTTATTGTTTTATTGACTTATTTTCTTTTATTTATAATAAGAACCTTAAGCTGAAATTTAATTTTCTTGATATAAATATACGTTTTCATAGAAAATTTGGCATTTAAAAATGTTATCTCAGACATTAATGGCTTTGATAAA